AGGGTTCGTGTAGGGTAATAAGCAAAGGTGAATATCAAAGATAGAAGTAAAGCGTGGGAAAGTAGTGAGAGTGACAGGAAAAGGCAGTGGAAGCGGTGGAATCACGTGCGCACGTCATAATTTTGGGTCGGCAAATCTCACCTTAATTACCAAGTTTACTCAATTCAAACCATGGTTGAACATGCTCCACCCCCCCTCTCCTATGTTGAGTACAGAGCAAGCAAAGCAACATCACAAGATCCCACGTGTCGCCCTCCCTTGATCCAAGGTTAAAGCGCTAAACAAGTTTTTAGTTTTAATCCAACAAATACAATTATTGGGTGCGGCGTGGAATGGAACAAGAAGAAAAGGTGGGTCAGCGGAGCAGGCGTTAGTCACGCCATGTGACACTGCTCCTTTAACAAAGACCCTCTTTCTCTGTGGATAGGCATGCTAAATAATAATATTTAAATTTAAACAATAAAAAAATGGTGGCTAGAAAATATCTTTAAATATATATAGCGTGTTTGTTACTTTATAGACACGAAGGCAAATAGTCAAGAGGGAGGCGTGCTTTTGCGCGAGAGAGAGTGTACATACATACTCATACTAGAGTTTTGTTTTGAGTTTGGTAAGGGTGGTTCAAGCGATTAAAAACCCACACCTTCAAATCGCAATTCACTAGTGCTTTCTGAAACTCCTGCGAAACCGAGGTTTCCTCTATTGTTCTCAAATCTCAACCGATATCCTTGTATTTTTTAAGAACCGCTGAAGGAAATGGAGTGGCCGACTTGTACGGACGAGTACGAAAAGCTCGTAATACGGATGAGCACTCCCAGGTTCATAAACCACTCTTCATCATTTATGCTATTTCTTCCTTTCCTACCATATACTTTGTCATGTTTTCGATCGATCTATAAGTTTTTCAGCAAGTGTCTACCTGATTTTATGCAAATCTAGCCTATTACTTTCTTTTATGGGCACACTATTTGATTTTCTGAAAATTTTATGTATTTTGGGTCGGGACGCCTGATTTGAAAACTGTTGCTACTGGTATGTGCTAGTTTTTGTTTGTTTCAGCCAAATTCCTTTTTGGCAGACAATAATGTTTCGTGTTCATGAGTCCTTCTTGCATCCTATCTGGTTGCAATAATTCAGTTAAAATAGCATTTAAACTTGAATATAATTCAAAGGATAATTATATTTTTTTTTTCTCAAGTCAAACCGACTTTTGAATTTGACTTGTCCACTGCCAATATTTCAATTTTTTTGACTTTTCTTTTGCGTCTAGTCCCCGGTTCTTCTAAATCGCCTATGTTCGGTGTTCCCATTAGTGTCTTCTTTGTATTCTGATGTTTGGAACAGAATTTGGCGGACAAAGCAATTTCGCTGACTTTTACCTTTCTCTGTGAAACAGGGTAGTCATTGATAATGCCGTTTTTTCCTCAGCTACTCTGATTAAGGTGACCTTTGACTGAATTTTCTCTCATATGGGAACAATTTGTTCAAATAATGTTCTGTTTTCATGTAAATACAAACAATTAGATACCAATAGTCTCTGCTTCCATGAATTTCACAGGTTGACAGTGCCAGAAGGCATGGTATTCTATTGGATGCTGTACAAGTGCTCACTGACCTAAACCTTTCAATTAAGAAGGCATATATTTCTGCTGACGGCAAGTGGTTCATGGATGGTAAGCTACTCGTTACGAGTTTCCCTTTTCAATTAATTGGTTTCATTCCGTTTTCTTCTGCTGAAATGGTTTATGTCTCGAGCACTTCTAACGTTTGGCTATTCAATGGACAGTTTTCCATGTCACTGATCAAAATGGAAATAAGATAACGGACGAGAGTGTTCTAAAGTACATTGAACAGGTATTTAATCTTCTTTACCACTAGTAGTTGTTTTTTAATTTCAATGTTATCAATTATTGTTGATCTGATTCTGAATCTTCTCATGACAGTCACTTGGGAACATTCACTATGGGAGAACTAACCGCTCTAATGGTCTCACTGTACTGGAATTAACCGGGGCTGACCGGGTCGGTCTTTTATCGGAGGTGTTTGCTGTACTTGCTGATCTTCAATGCGATGTGGTTGAGGCCAAGGTTTGGACTCATAATGGCCGCATCGCCTCTTTAATTTATGTAAAAGACTGCAATTCTGGGTCTTCTATTGAGGACTCTCAGAAAATTAACAAGATTGAATTGCGCTTAAGAAATGTTTTGAAGGGAGACAATGATATTAGAAGTGCAAAAATTTCTGTCTCTATGGCTGTTATGCATACTGAAAGAAGGCTACATCAAATGATGTTCGCTGACCGTGATTATGAGAGGACTCCCATTCTCAAGTTTACTTCTGATAATCCATTGGTGACTGTTCAGAATTGGACTGGAAGGGGTTATTCAGTTGTGAATGTTCAGTGCAAAGACCGAATCAAGCTATTATTCGACGTTGTATGCAATTTGACAGACATGGAATATGTTGTATTTCATGCAACTATTAACACCGATGGTGACCGAGCCTACTTGGTAATTGTTATACTCTGTTCCATCAAATGTAGTTTTTCCATTCTGCTCAGTTGTTTCATTTATGTTCTTAACGTTGTTTAAATCTTCATTTCAGGAGTTTTATATAAGACACAAGGATGGCACTCCAATTAGTTCAGAGCCAGAGCGTCAACGTGTAATTCAATGCTTAAAAGCTGCTGTGGAGAGAAGGGCATCTGAGGTATAGGCTTCCTTCATCTCACTTGTATTTGTTAAATCGTTATGACCTTTTGATATGAAGTGGCGAAGATTAATTAATTGTTAATTTGATTTGATTATAGGGTGTTCAACTAGAATTATGCACAGAAGATAGGCAGGGGCTTCTAGCAGAAGTGATGAGAACTTTTCGAGAAAATGGGCTCAATGTGACGAGGGCTGAGATATCCACTATAGGAAATATGGCTACAAACGTGTTCTATGTGACGGATGCGATTGGAAACCTAGTTGATCCAAAAATCATCGAATCTGTCAGGCAAAAAATTGGATTAAGCAATTTAGAAGTAAAGGAGTTGCAGTTGATAGATCATCAACAGGCAGAGGGAGAAAATCAAGCGGTTGGAATTGGTGGGGCTGTGTTGTTGTCGATTGGGAGCCTTGTGAGAAGGAATCTATACCATTTGGGACTAATCAAATCCTGTTCTTAAATCAGAGGCTAGCTTAGGAGTGTGTTCTATGCAACTTTTCTAGCATAATATTCTTTGCTTCCGATTTGGGTTTTGTGTACATAAAAAGTTTAAAGGTGGAATTTGGTGATAGTTGTTCTAGTTGGGTAGGGTTGGGTTTGGTAGGTGGAAACGGATAGTTAGATGTACAGCTGTAGTAGATTGGGGTGCCCCACCATTTTAAATGCTTCTTTTGAATTTACGTCCGTGGAAGGTTGCGAGATGAAATAGAATTAGATTCTTGGTGGCAGAGGGACACGTCTAGGTAGACACAACACATTGGGTTCATTGTTAGTTTAGCACTTAGCTCATGTATATATATATATATATCCACCTTTTTTCCCTGGTTAACAATATTAATGTTAGCGGTTGACTTTAATTTTTAAGCTCAACTCCCTTTTTCTAATATTTCAACACTTTTATGGGCTCCACGTTTCGCCACCGCTGGATGTCACTAGTCCATTAAAGTTTCCTCATTGAATGATCTTTATATCGATTTAAAGCATCTCGTTAAATAGAAATGATTTTTTTAATGGAAATGTTAGGATTTTTTTATTTATTTATGGACACATGGTTATTTTTTATATTTAAATTTAAAACTTAAGTTGCCTTTTATTTTATTAAATGACATCTTATTTGTTGTAGTAATAATAGATTAATAGGTAGGTTAATACCATGACAATTTATGATTTCTATACATATTAAAGACGATAAAAAAAAATTTGTAAAGGTAGGAAAAATTATAAAAGATAGTCGAAGATTGAACCTAAGTTTTCATGTTTCTAACTATCTCAAGTCTTCCTCATTTAACCACTAGACTAACTTTAGTGGTTATAAAAAAATGTTTGTCACAATATTTCTAAAATAATTTATTATTTTAATAATTCACTATTTTAATTGCATTACTTTTGGAAAAAAATCCTTTTAGACACAATATTTACTAAAATAATTCATTATTTGAATAAGTGCATTATTTTTAATTTTAATTGTTGTGGTTGAATTATTTGTGAAGATATGAATTTTGAAAAAAAATAATTAATATTATATTGATAAATTATGTTTCAAAAAAGATATTATTTATTTTAGAATATTTTTCAAATATTAAATCTGCTTTCATTGAAAAACGGAGGGAGTTAAAAAATACCAATAATATATTCTAAATTAAAATAATGTTAAGTATCGATATTATGAAAAATAATGTTTTCTTGATATGTTAAAATGATAAATAAGTTTAAGAAAATATATAAAGCTACCAATTAGATTGAAGCGGGTGTATATTTTCTGGTTACACACTAACTAGGCTAAATTCATCTCGATTGCCGTCCGGCCGGTGGGACGTGTATGGCTTACAAGTTTCAATTGCAAAATGGGGGGAAAAAAACCTTTAGATGGAGGATCTTCAATTCAAGTCCGATTAGTTTTGAAGACATTGGAAGTGTGTGATTTGATCAACATTTATAAAATTAATTTTAAATATTGATTCAAATTGATTGTTGAATGGTGTTGTTTATATTTGAATGTTTCTATTTTAAAATGAAGTTAGTAATAATATCTAGTTATTTTTAACATGAAACTAAATCAGTAAACCTTTACTTAAAACCACACTAAAATATTTTTCAATTTTAATTTTCGATGATTTAACATGATTTTGAACTATTAAGAGTTTAACTCAGTTGCGTGATATGTAAAGGGTCTAAATTAATTGATTGAATTGTTGTAAATGCTACTGATTTTAATTTTTACAAATAAAGAAAAAAGAATTCGAACTCACAAGAATTATTCTTAGGAATGTTTGGATAAAAATAGGGAAAGTTAGCTGACACATAAGCTTGACACGGACACAGACCACGTGGAATTAAGAATTGAACATGAGTTATGCGTTGATAAAGACGCTAGTGGTTGCAGCATCACATGTCAGATAATGTAATTGAGGACAAAAGGGATCGTACTTAACCTTAGATCGACCTAGAAAACCATCGAAAACTCCAAGCCTTCTCCCCATGAATAATGATACGACATAAGGTAACTATTATAATTATTAGCAGCGAGTTCAGCTGTGTAAATAAACCTCAGAAAACATACGAAACTTATTAATAAGTTACAATAATCAGATGAACTTGGTTCCTAATTGTTACAGACTTACATGGATGTCTTTCCTTACAATTAGTACCATCATGAGAAGCTGCAACAGGCAACATGAAAAATTGAACTTCGAGGCCATTAAAAAGTTGAAATTCTTGTTTTTTATGGAAGAGTAGAAAGTTAGTTTTCAAAATCAAAGAATGAGCAGAGACTACACGCGTTATTTTTATGTCATTGGAAAAGCAGCAAAAACGTTTTACATGTCACCTTATAACCGTGTATTGTCATAACGTAGGAAGAAATATGACTATTTTATTAAGATATTTGGTGTCACAAGTTCGAGAAAACCTTTACCTAACCACTAAGTTTGGTCTAAAGTTAATCTAGAATCTTTGTATTTAAAAATTCCAGTCAAACACCTACATGCAAGTTGCTCCGCGATCGTCTTATGAGGTAATTTGGATAACATAATTCCTAATAAATCTCTCAACATGTATAATTGAGTGTTATTAATATAATTAAAAACAATTATAGATGGGCCAAAAAAAATCAAGTTATACTAACATTTTTTTTTATAATTTGGAAATTTTATATACATATTATATTATTTAAGTATGGAATATTTTTTAAAAGAGATTTAACGACTTTTTCATCCAAAAACATTCGATAAATATAAAATTAAATTTTTTTTTATCTCGTCAATCATGTTGTATAATTATTTTTATTAATAAATTTATAAATATTAATATTGATGATCGTTATCGTGCATGTACTCTTATAGGTTTTAGGTTGACTTATCTTGTTAAGTTACTCAATTGTCAACTAATCTCGTCATACAAGAGTAATCGACCAACATGTCTCACTTTTTGCAATAACTCAAGTAAAGCGCAAGATAAGGAAATTTGTACTTTTTTAGGCCTATGGTCGACTTACCTCCTAAGCCTGTGGTTAACTAACCTCCTAGGCCCATGGCCAACCTACTTCCTAGGCCTGTGACCGATTAACTTGAAGTTGATCATCTTAATAACTATTGACACCTCGAATTTATGGACTTGGCCTATGAGGCTATAAAATAATATACTTACCATTAAGGGGACATTTGTTTTAAGGTATGTTACTACTTTCATACAAGGGCGACCTTCTTGGTGACAGGGGGAGCCGCACACACACACATATATATATATATATATATATATATATATACATATATATATATATATATATATAATATTGTATTTGTATGATTATTTTATGAAATGACTAGTGAATGATAATATTTTTTTAGATTTCATTATCACGTATGTTTATTTTGAGTAGAAAAAAAAAGGAATTGTATTATTTTTTTTAATTAGTAAAACATTTAATTTATATACAAAAAGATTAATTTGGCACCCCCAAATTTTTTATCCAAGTTCCGCCACTGCTTTCATGAGAATTACATTCTTAAGAATATTATTATTGGAATGTTATTCATGAGAGTATTTTGAAATGTGTTTGCTGAGATTTTAACTTTCTTGGGAATAATTTAAAATTTAAAATTAATTAAAATAAAATATGAGTTGAAAAAATGGGTTAAAATATAACTTTTCACATTTCCACAGAAATACAACTTTCACATCCTCCATCGTGGGAATCAAAATGGAGTTATGTTGTGACTATTTTCTCAAGAAGAAATTATACTCAAAAATATTTTTTTAAAACTCTAAACAAACATGGGAATATAACATCCTCAACTTAATATTCTTGTGAATAAGTTTTTAATCCATGAAACAAATACACTCTAAGAATATCAATCTAAATTATACCATCAATCATGTTATATCATTCAATATTGACCAAGTTGTCTATAAGAGGATAATCAATCGATCTATTGGACTAATGATTAAAACTCAATTAAAACATCGAATAAAAAAATATAAAACACTTCTTGATAAGAATGATATACGAAGATACACAGAACCTAGAGACCATGTGAATAACAAAAAAATGTTGAGATCAAGATCAAGATATAGTTAAAAAATTAGGGTCACAAAACCTTACTACTAGGTTGAAAAGACGGGGACACTTCTAGAGGAGGTAAGTCTTCGTTTTAGAAACAAAACACAACTAAAGAGAATAGAGAAAGATGAACTATTGAATGTTTCAATGATGAGATTATTCTTGCGGTTAGAACATTTGTCACTCTTAAATAATATATAAAATTGTTTCATTAATTTTTACAAATTATGTCCAAATTTATAATTATACATTTCAATTAATACTTTCTTTTTGAGTAATGCACGAGAGCTTCTAATAATTTTTGTTTTTTTAATAACCAAACACAACTACTTTTGGAGAAACATAATTATTGTTTATTTATTTATATTTAAGTAAAATTATAAAAGTAAATAGTGTGTTTCACAAAACTGATATTATAACATCAACTTGATAAGTTGATAGAGATTAACAGATATATAAAAATAGTTAATTTATTGCTGTCTTATTTCTTATTCGTATCGATCAGTTAATATATAAGACATATATCCAGCCAAAAACCAATCAATTGATGCGTCATCTCAACTGTGAATTAGTGATGAAGTCGAAATGTTGATTATTAAAAAATAGAACAAAAGATAAACATAAAAAAGGACATTAGTTATATTTTATCTTTTTTCACCAAAGATTCAAATCTAGATTCACCAATCACCGTGTTGTAGGAAACTAAATTTTTGAAAAATTTCTCTACGGAAAAAAGTCTTATTTTCAATAAAAAAAAGTTTTTGAAAACTCTCTCTTCTAATAAACTCAACTTCCATCTATTATCTCAAGGGAATATTAATAGTATAAATTTATAATGCATCTATGGAATTAATTCATATAATTCGGAACCTTTGAATATATTCAACTTGATTTCATTAAAGGAAATAAAAGAAAGAAAATGTTCTAGAGCCTGCCAGGCCTACTTGATGCCTTGAATTGATGGATGAACTATATACATCGTTTATTTTATTTTTAATTTTTTAAAAGAGGATTAATTAATTGTCGGATTATCACAAAATAGAAACCAACAAATATATATATATATATATATATATATATATATATCGGTATTATGATTACCAATATTGTGATACTACCAAATTTGACGTATAATTGGATTCGGATATTGTTTCATTAGATAAATGTTTATGGAGTTAAGAAGATATATTACTTAATAAAATCATTTTAATTAGCATCTTCAAAAATAAGAATATTTCTGGTGGGTCAACCCTGATTGTGAAACTAGTTATTTCAGTAATCAAACTTTGATCATTGTCCACATACATACAACTATTTATTCATTTTCTTTTGCAACAAGTTAGCCGTCTTTGACTCTTTAGAAGACAAGTTTGTAGTTCCATTAATTTGCAGAAAAACATAACACTCTAATGAGAGTAAAGAGATGAAGCCAAAGAATTAACATTTATAAAGAAGAAGAAAATGATGTAACTGTTTTATTAGGAACAGATGTTGTTTTCCTTTGCATATCATCAATCAACTGATATAATCTAATTAACTATCCATAATTAATCACAATTCACCTTTTCAAGTATCGAACAACACTTACGTTAAACGTTAGGATCCAAGAGGCATACTGATTTCTCTATGATTGTTAATTTTAATATTGTTTGCCCAAAAGATGATTTTTGGCTGTTTCTATGAAGAATCTTGAACCGTTATGTGCCTGCTCATGTAACCAAGTGGCAAAGTGAAACTCCGCGTATTATTTTCGAATGAGATTACAATGTAATTATATTTCAAAAATATTATTTGGCATATTATTTTCATGAAACTTTTTTTACTGAACTTAAAATAAGATAAGAAGAACAAAACACATTTTAATATTTTTTATCTTATTTTTTCAAATCATAATTTTTAATAAAAAAAATGTATTAAACATGTGTGGTTCAATTTGAATGCACCATAATTTTCGTTTTCTACCTCATGGCTTCTGACATTAACAGGAGTGACTCAGGATTTCCGTCTGGTCTGGCCTGGCTTGTGATATGTGAGGAAGCTTATGTTAATTTTATGATTAAATATAGTTTTAGATCTTGAAAAATTCAATTTTTTTAAAATTTTTGAAAATATTTCATTTTCATTCTTTAAAAATTATTGAAGTTGTGTATTTTCAGTTTCAAAAGACAAACTAAAATTCTAATTTTAGGATTAAATGTACTTTCAGACCTTGAAAAATATGATATATTTTTTTTAAAATTTTTATAAGAGTTATTCATTTTTTTTCTTTTGAAAATGATAGAAGTTGTGTTTTTAGTTTCTAATGACAAAATAATATTATATTAATCAATTCAATAGAAGAACTAAAAATAAATACATTTTTTTTATAGAAATTACAAACATCATATTTTCAGAAAAGTCTATTTTTTTTTACTGATAAAAAATTCTCATTTAACCGTACAGTTTGCAGATTTTCTTATACACAACATAATCTTATTCCAGTAAAGTAGGATCAAACCATAAAACTGGATTTGAGTATATATGATGTTGTTTCATCCCGAGTCTCAAAATAAATATAACTCATGATTTTGACCCTAAAAAATGTGTGAAGGAATCTATAGATGGCAAGCATCTTCTTCTTTATAGGTTTAGAGTTTTCCTGGCCGACCTAACTATGTTGTTTGGTATGATATGTGTGTAGAATTGTGTCGTTAGAGACTTGGAATCTTTTTTACTTTTAATCTTCTAATTCCAAAGGTTTTGTTTTTATTTATTTAAAAGAACATTCCCAGAAAGAGTATTTTCATTTTTTATCTAATGATAATTTTTTAATAGCCTTTTCACAATTTAATGTTTACTCTTTGAAATCATGTGGTACTCCACCATTAAGTATAAAAACATTTCTCTCTAGTTTTGGTTTTTATAAGATACACACGCATTGAGAAATTTTTTTAAAAAAAGTTTTCTATATATTTTAATTATTTTTAGTTTCTCAATCCATGACCTAACGTATCAATATTTTTATTTATTTATTAGAGAACTACTTTAGATGGGCAAGTGATAGAATTGTCCTTTTTACATTATTCAATTTTAAAAAAATGAAATAAAAATGTTTTAATATTAAAAGTTTTCTTTGTTTAACACAAAAAGCTTGGTGTAGAAAAATATGGACTGTGCTTATTTTAAATGCATCATTTTATTTTAAAACTTTAATTTTTACGCACAGTTAATATAAAGATTTTTACACTTGTAACTTATTAGAAATAATTAAAAATATGACTTTTAAATTTATTATAACAAAAGCCAACGACCTTAATTATAATGTATAACAATTTATAATTAGATAAAAGAGTTTTTTTTAAAAGCATTAGTAACATTGTTAAAAGCATACCTTCATTGAAATTTAATTAAATTCTTATTTGAAATATCCAAACATGCTAAATAATGAAAATATTTTTTAAAAAGTATTTTTTAAATAAATTTTTGCTTGCATTTTCACTTGACTTCCATGTAATGATGTAACGATGTGCATTGTTTGCTTGTTTTTCTTTAAAAAAAAATAATCAAATCAAATCAGATTATTTTATAAAAATAAATAATTTATTATTCTCTAATAGATAACACTGGCATCTACTCATTTAAACCGATATCATCCAATTTATTGGTCTGACAAACCCACAACAAATATAAAAAACAGTACCTTATGCATAACACAGTCAAATAACCAACTTAAAAGTGTTAACATTTGCCTTTATTTTGAAAAAAGAAATAGTTCTTATAATACAATTGGTTCGAATTTTCTTTTTAGCACACCCTTACCTCTAGGCCTTGAATGGGAATTTTGCCTTTTTATATGTTTTTGGGTTCGACGTTGAAAGGGGATGGACTTAAGTGAACAAATACAAATACACTGTTTAAAGTGATCTGAATAGACTAGTTTAATATTGGGCTTGAACTATACGCATAGTTTTGTTCCAGTCCATTATTTCATCTGATGGATTTGGTTGTCCATTTTCAGTAGTATGTGAACAAAGTCTTAATGGGCAGGATTAAAAAGATCGTATTGGTAATTGATGGACCTTTTAATTGGGTTTTTTGAGTTTTATGCAGCCGACAAAGAAGAAAAAATTTTCCTTGAACTCACAACTTCTCTTATATAAGAGAAATGGTTGATTTCCAAAGGTAAAATCATGTCCAACGAAATGCACTTTTCAATCTTCATGTTCCTTTTAACACACATTTGTAGTATTGTTCAATTTTTACATAAAATAAACTTTCAAGCCAAAAATTTTATTCGAGTACAATTGCATTGTGTTGGGATTTTTAAGAAAAAAAGACTGAAGATATTGAACGGAAATCTGATCTTTAGTCCTTTACTATTGCAAGGAAATGTTGTAAATGGGCCAGTGAGAGATAAGGAGGTGAGATGTGTCAATTTAAAATTAATCTAAATTTGATACTCATGTGACTGTGATGTACATGTAACTTTTTATTTTATTTTATAATACTGTGGGATTAGATGATGACAGTAGTAAAAGTAATAGTTATGATAACAATGATGGTATTGACTGTGGTTATAAAATAAAAGAATCATATTAAGACATTAGTAAAACTGAAATTTTAAACCCACAAACAAAAAATTATTTATTAGCTTTTGCAAAATAAAAAATTCGCACATATTAATAAAAAGTTAACATAAAACTCCCTTATTTAAAGCACAAAAATCTCTCTCGAATTTTACTTTCAGAGTCAGTCCTAAATCATTTTTGTTTATTTTGAGAATAAATGTAAAAATATTTCAAAAATGAACTAAAATCAATTTCAGTTCAATTTTAACTGAGCATTTTTTCTTAAAAAAAAAAAAAAAAAAACTCGCAATCATCCTGAAGAGGCCGTATTATTCTCATCTTTATATTCTCGATAAGCTTTCTAAAAAAAAAAAAAAAAAAAACTCGCAATCATCCTGAAGAGGCCGTATTATTCTCATCTTTATATTCTCGATAAGCTTAAAAAAAATTATGCGTACAAAACGTCCCAGTAAATCTTACAATTGGACCAAACACGGTAATCCAAAACCTTAGAACATTAATTATAAAAATTCTTCATCCAGTTTGAAATTTCTTTACATACACCTTTCATTTTAATAAATTCTTACAAAATTTATTTTCATCCGGGGACGGGGCGGTATTTTATACTTACAACATTTCTTTCTTTGTTTTTTCACGCCTTCCAAATGATATGTTACCTAAATTAAATTAATGTATTTTTTTTTCCTGAATTAAGTGGTAAAAGAGAGTGTAACAGTTTATTTTAGCTGTAAATCCCAAACGAAGGAATACGGCCTTTAAATATAAACAAGACACTCCCTTCCTCATCTTTTTGAAACATCCAGTCATAACATGTGGCAATAGGCGTAACACAAGGCTAAGTTCATTCCATGTCCGGTATAGGCGCGAAAATGTTTATTTAAAGAATTAGGTAATGTCTCTTCGTGCACGTAACATCAATCTGTAGTCTTAATACATATGCCGTAACCCACGAATCAGGATTTGACATTTCGATCTTGGATTGGTTAAACTTTGGAAAAGGAAAATTTAGAGTTACCAGCTCAATAGCATTAGCCTTGTCTAGAATTATCGTAAGCTAATAATGAGTAATTCAGATTGAAGATGCAAGTCAATTTCTTTTAAATGTGTAAGCTGTATACAGATTAAAGATAACAAATTGAAACACAACACCAAGTTCCCTCACCAGGAGTGTTGAAACCGTTTCAATCTGAGACCTCGCTTATTTGTAGCTCATACATGAAAAAGTGAAAATTTATACTGTTTGCATCAGTTTATCTGTTCAATGATGTAGCTAACCCCTGCAGCAGATTCCAGTACACAAGATTCCCGTAACCCAACATTGCGCTATTCCAGAAGGTTCAATCTTGTTTTAGACAGATTAAACCAAGGGCTAGGGAGGACGACAAATGCATGATGCAGAACAGAACCGGTCACGATTTGAGATAAATAAATGGATCATGAGGATGGAATATGACAGAGAAAAGAATAATATGTAGTAGATAGGGAAAAAACAAGAACGTACTTCGATTCTGAATGAACATGAATTGCCATGCCGATGCCGATTCAACCTTCTTCCTTCAAAAGACAATCTCTCCCTTGAACTTTTCCCCCCCTAAAAAATGTAAAGAAAAAATTATTCTGAACCATCTTTTATAAGCATCAACTATCAAAACAAGCAGCAACTCACCCCTAAAGTACACGTTAATCATAATAGAATTGTATACGACAAGAAATTAACTGTTGCCTCAACTCGAGGAGTTTGCAGCACTCAACAATAAAAGCAACCAAATGCAATTACTGACCCAATGATGTGTAAATCATCCTGCAGCAAGATAAACATTTATGAATAAAAACATTCATTATAATGAAATCCATAAAATTGACAGACAATTAAGCCTTTCAAATTGTCTGTACCAAAATACAGAGAGGAAAAGGATAAAAACAAGATAGAAGAGTTTGATAAGCCGCTGCTTCTTTTCCCAAGAGAGCAAATTGAATATCTCAGTAACATCAATCAAATGCATTCTTCGTCGATACCTGATCAAACGAATAAATTATGCAATTAGCATGACCATATTATGCACAATACAGTATATCAAAATATCAAGATTCAAGCACTATTATCTTATCTATTTTTATCTCTACTAGTAAGCAACAATGCACCCATGACAGACTGGAATGGCTATAATAGGGTAGCAGTGAGGAATATAAACAGTAAATAAAATAAAATAAAATAAAACTATTTGACTGTGTTGATGCGAAACTAAACCCGAACTTTCCAAAGTTTCAGCTTGTGAGTTGTAACAACATAAACACAAGGACTGCATGTGTATATACAATAGGCACATTAATATATATTGTTTGGTTTGAGCACCGGCTCCATACAGTTAACCGTATATATATAGACGGTGTAAACCAAACCGAGTCAAAAAGCTAAAGCAAACAAGGGGAAAATGAAGCTCCATACGGCTGACCAAACTTACATATTGTGTAAATCAATCCAAGACAAATTAAGCCAAATAAAGGGAAAAATGAACAGAAAAGCCAAACAAAACTTGAATAATTGAAAAAAAATAAAAGGTTTAATTAGTTTGTTTCAGCTCTCTAAACATTCCTAGACTCAAACTAAAATGCAGAATAATACAAAGACCGAAAGCTCAAATTCATAATTTGTTCTCTCACCTAAACTACAGTATAAATGCACATAATCCCCCTAGAAACAGAATGTGTAGTTTTAGTAAGCAGTAACCAGTACTAGAAACGTAGCCTAGTTAGCAAATCCATGAACACAAAAACCTAAAGTATTTGTAGAATTGGTATAAACTTACAATCGGATATTGAAAAGGAGATAAGGAACACAGAAGAGAGCCATGATCCAATGCCTGGTAACAAGGTAGAAGAAACATAGGACAGCTTGCGTAATAAATTCAGGCATAACGACCCTATTTATTCGCGTGGAAGAGTCATAGGGATTTATATAATCAAATTCTAGGTCTGCGAGGCACATTAGCTGCAAGAAAAAGAAATGTTAGAGTTAGAGGATATATTTAGGAAGAAGAAAAGAGCGTGATATATAAAATTGAGAACCTGGAACGTGATGAGCACAAGCAGGGCGATAAGGAGGAAGAAGGAGATGAGCCACACGAAGAGATCGGCCATTATCTCCTTCTTCCTCCCTGCACACTGCGCACGTGCTAACGTGCGCAGTGTGTCCGCTTCGCCTCCCTTGCTATATTTCTGCTCTTCGCCCTTCACGCAACACCACAGACCACACCCCCTTTTTTCTAGGCTAATTAAATAGCTCTACATTGCATATTCATGATTATAACTTTACCATTAACATCCACCACAAAGTTCTCTATCAATAATAGCTATAAAAAAGGTAGTATTGAAATTTTAAATCGATTTCTTCACAAGTTTTTAGGATTTCGATTCAAATATTTATAAATATCAAACTTACTTGTTCATACTTGATCCTCTCAATAAATTTATATATATAAAAAAAAATAACTAATTTCAACGTGAATTAAAAAAATAATTAAATATATTTAATTTTAACAATATCAAATAAAATATATTATGTTTATTAAAATATTTTTTATCATATTTATTATAGATGGTGTTCTTATTTATTTTCTTGGGAGTACTTTTAGATTAAGAACATTAAATAAAGCTGAATTAATTAAAATTTATTTATATTTAAATTCAAAAAATTTAAGTACTATTTTACTAATAAATAAATTTAAAGTTTATCGACATAATTTTTTTAAAACAATCATTTTTCTTACTTTATCTATTTAATTTAGAATCGGTTTTAATACAAATTGTAAATTTTTTTAAAAGATTTTATTAAAAATAGATTATTTTTTGATAAAAAAAAACTCGTAAAATTTAATTTAGTCTATTTGGGTATAAATTTAAAATCTCACTTTTCTAATAAAGCATCATTAGCAAATAAAATTAAACTTAAAACCTAAAATTCTCTTCGATTTTGTTCAATTTTAAATATAAGTAACAAAAGGAACATATTTATTACTCTCAAATTTAAGTAAATCTCAATTAAGTTTTTAATATGTCTAATTTTAAGAAATGGTGTTTAGAAAATCAAGTTATTTTTAAATGAGATTAATGCAACTAAAGGATATTGACTAACTTTCTTGATCAACATGAATTTATTTATTTATTTTCTTATATTCAAATCCTCTATGAGTACAAATTATTAAGAAAAAACTTATCTCAATAGACATTACCTTAAGAAAATGAGTTTAAATTTTTCTCAATCTTACAAAAATAACATAAAATAATTATTATTTTTCACTTATATACATAAGTTATTATAGACATTACCTTTCGCTTTTTTGTTAAGCAATCGTTACTTATCTATGAAACTGGTTATTTTATGAAAAATTACTCTGCAATCGGAGAAAAAAATAATTCTTAATAATAAAAATAGTTTAAGCTTCCGTCAAAGGATTTGACATAACTAGTTCTTTAGTTTAGAAATTGAACTTCATTTACTCTCTAATACCATGTGACCATGTCAGTGTCACATTTGGGATTCAGGATATAATTTTAGCAATATTGACATAACATTCAAAGACTATAAGACCATGAAAAACAACTTTTAATTTAGACCACAGTTCCTTGACTTGCAAACATTGGCATATGATTACCTTAGTGTATACATATATCTTTCCATTAAATTGTATATACAACAAAGGCAATCGAATCCATTGGAAAATGTACATTCAGATAGTAAAGAAATTCTGTTCATCACAAAGTGGTCGGGAGGATGTCCTAAACTTGCAGCAAGAGTGCATTGGGAGAACATGAACAGCATCCTCAAATCAAATGAAAAGCAAAATCAATTACCATATACATGTGCAGTGCCTACAAAATAGATGCGGGAGGCTTCAAGCAGATAAAGAAATTCCTTGACCCCAAGTTCTTCAGCTTCTCATTTGGCTTCAAACCTAAACACATTACAAAGGTAATTAATTCATCGTGGCAAAATTTAAGTCTTTCACGTAGTAATTTATCCATTAAAAATTACAACGAGAATAACAGGTTTCGAAATCATGTATATATACTACTTCAATTCCAGCACTAAAAGTAATAATTTGGGACATTTTTAAGACATGGGTATATTCCTGAATAAAATTATATAGTAAAAGGAAAAGTTTGAGGTGAAAAGAAGAGAGAGGGATCAAGGAGGTTACTTTGGAGGGTGTAGGGAGAATAGTGAAGGTGGTAGCATTTTGGATCATTGTCTTTCAAGAGAGGCCTCCTTTTCTCCTTGTGATAAATTAGCAATGCTGCCTTTACCAAGTCGGCGACAGTGTCTTCCGGCGACATCAGCACCTGTATTGCGCCCAAGCTGTTCTCGACACTAACATTTACGAGAAGTTTCGATGGCCAAACATAGTCGCTAGCAGTTGCCATGGTCGGCAACGGAAACTTGTTGGTCGGAGGAGTAGACACGATTCCACCCATTCTGCCACACACAAGAGACCAGCAGATATTTTCTTGCATGCAAATGCAATGTCGGAATGTTGATGGATAAAATGTTTGACCAGACAGAAATGCAATGCAATTCAATGAAGCCCTCCAGATTTGGCGTGGTGGGGCTTAAACGGAGAAGGAAGCTTCTTGGAAACTACTCCATTCTTACTCTCCTTTGGATTTTGTGGACAGCCTTCAGATTGCAATAATTCTAAATCTTTTACGGTGCATTAATTTTTATTATTTGCAATTGCAATACTATAAATAAAGAATTAAACTCATTCTATATTTTTAATATATAAACATGAATTAATTAATTATATAATCACTTTAATATATAATTATAAATTATTTCTAAATTTGTATCGATTACAGATAGATTTTCTTAAGAAAGATTTTTACTTAAATTTTCATGATTAAAAAATTTCACCATCAAAGTTTCATACTTTATTTTTTCTTCTTTTTAATTTAAATAAGTATTTTAATATGTGCATTTTATAGGTTAAACATTTATTGACTATAATTTATAATAAATTATATATAAATAAATATAATATTTAAATACAAATTATATTTAAAATTAATATCGGTAACAATTTTAAATATATAAATTATATTTTAGATTTTAAGATAAATAAATATGTTATTTTTAGTAATCTTTTTCTATATTTATTGAAAAAATTAATTATTGGTAGCTTATTTTAAAAATATTAAAATCTTATTCATAAATAAATATTGTAAATAAAAATTTTAATTAGTTATGAAGTTAAAAAAAATTCTCTAAATGATCCCATCAAATAATAGATCTTAAAAATTTTATATTTAATTTTATAAAAATGTAATTTTATCACAAATCTCAATTGTTGATTTTTAATCAACAATTGTGAGTATATTTTATCTTTTAAAGTACATCTCTCACTTTATAATAGTCAAATCCCTAAACCTTGAAATAAGTTATACATGTTTTACTTGCTAATCTTTTCTTAAAATTTCACCCGTAGTTTATAAACAAAAATTTTACTGGTTTTTTTTCTATAATAATTTGTTTTTTTGTTAAATATTACTCTTAAGTATTAACGTGATAGTCATGTTGATAATCACAATAATTGTATCAATATTGATTTACTTTTGTTTCATTCTTTAGAAGGTACTACTTTATCTTGATCTCCTTTCACCTCTCTTTCTCTAATGACTTCTTGTCTTTTCATATATCTTCCTTTAATACTTCTTGTTTTGATTTGCTTTTGCCTCTCACGACTTAAACCTTCCTTGTTGGTTGTGGCTCTACCATGCAACTTCCTCCTTTAATCTCTTTTTTAGTCTTTCAATTTGCAATTGTTATGGTTGTGTGGTTCATTGCTTTATCTTTTCCTTTTCTCGATCCACTTCAATTGAGAAGTGTTTTTTTTATTTATAAATTTTTACGAATATACTTTCTTACGATTGAACAGGTTGTTACAAATTGGTTGAATTAAAGAGAAATCACAAGACATGCAAAATCATCTGGATGGATCTATGAGAAACAATAGTCCAATCAACAACGTTTTTTATTTTTTTTTATATTATAGTTTTTTTAAATTTTATTTTTATGGATATATGAATCCAAATGCTCCAACCTGATCAAACCTATACGACCCACCCATGACCCGTCCAACGCATGGTCCACCTAACTAGAAAACTTTGTTGGCCAGACTCAAATATTAAGTGATCGATTTGGTTTGAATTAGATTTTTTGGACCTGAAGGTAACCAAATCGGATCCCTGATTAGTCCTACATAACAATTAGCTATTGATTAGTTAATAACTGAGTATAACATAGTTAACATCTTTGCTTTTATATATTACAACAGTTTATAAACATGAATAAGCAAATTTTTATATGTTTTTATCTATTAATTAATTATAATATAGAGTTTATAATAATTTAGTATGTTTTGGAATTAGGAAAGTTATTTAATAAGAGGAACTACTCAGTTTGTTGTATCCATCCAAATCTTGAGTTGACATCACTACTATTCTGCAAGAAAAAATACCAGAATATTTACAAAACTAATGAGCATAATGTTAGATATGCAATTTAAACAAATATTAGAACGAATATACGAAGTGGAAATGAATGGTTGAAAAGCAACACATAAAATTTTGTTGCCTTTTCCTTTTCAAAGTTTGAAGTAGCCCTGAATAGAACGAAGCTTTTGATTGTTCCTCATTGCGAACAAACCACAATCTTCCAAAGCCGATGAGCTCTTCTTACAATTTTACTAATCTTTCGGGCAATGAAAGAGGGGATCAACAATGGAGGATTTGCAATGGATGGGGTAGAGCTATGTGTGACTAATTCGGGAGCACTTTCCGAATGAAATGAATTGAAAGGAGAAACATCATTATTCTTCCGCAGATAAAAATTTCTGCTACCAAAATCTGCAATTACTTCTGATTTATCCAAACCTTGCGAGTATAATTTGTAAGCCAGATAAATAATACAATTAGTAAGCTCTAACAAAATTAATAACAGACTCTTCATGTAAGGTTAAGATTTCCAAATTGGTCAACATTGTACTAACCTTAGTTGCATCATTTACAGAATATTTTTACGCTATTTATTTATTTATTGATTTATATCTCTTCGTCGCATTACTCTCTTTATTTTATACATGATTTTTTTCTTTTCTGTCAAACTCGTTATTTTACAAAACAAATTGCACACATTTAATATAAATATACGATTTTTCTTCGGCAAGCATGGAAGTGATCTAATTAAAACCAAAATCATAAATAAAATTAATAATTTTTGTTTTTCTTGATTATTTAAGATTGTGTCATTTGTCAGATCATTAATCCACATTGACTCTATCCAAGTTGAGTTTAATGTTTTGCTTGAATTAGGATGAAATAAAGACAAAAAAATAAGAAGATCAGAAATAAAAATGAAATAATTTGGAAAAGATACGTTGTATGGATAAATAAAAAGTTTAGTATACCATTTATAGTAGTTTCTAATTTTTTAAATTTTTAGTTAGATCTTTAAACTAAAAAAAAATAATAATAATTATGCTCTTCATCTTTTTTATATTTTTATAACTTAATCTTTATATTTGCTTCAAAAAAAAAACTTAATCTTTATATATTATCATAAATTTATTTACCATCTATGAAATTTTACAAAATATTTCGTATATATATTCATATTTGAAGAACCTCATCAAATTTAAAGATCCAATTAAAATTTTTCAAGAAAATAAATAAATCAGAGACTAGTAGTATAATGTATTAAAACCTAAATAAAAAATAAGAAGGTATGAATTTTGTGATAAGTAAACAAGTAAAATTTTTGAATATAATATTTTTGTTGACATAAAATTATTTATTATTTATAAGAATTATATAAGAAAATTTTTAAAATGTTAAATAAAAAAAGAAAGGAGTTCCCTCCCGTTGAGTGAGATATATAAAATTTGACTTACTCTGGAGACTGAAATGGGAGTGATGCAATTGGAATGAAGATGACATATTAGGATCGATCTTGGGGCTTCTGCCTTCTTCTCTATATTTATCCACCACACGCTTTATTGTCTCCTCCACACTCGCCCCCAGTTTCACCATCGTTCGAACTGGCCCTGGACTCCCCTCAACGGTCACGTTAACTACCACCTTAGCTTCTTTCTCATACCCCTTTATTATCTAATAATATAAAATAACACATCACAAAAATATACAACCCTTGCGATACACGCAACTAATATTAAACAATCCAATTTACTTGTTTCGGAAGATTAAAAAAATTGAAAGAAAGTCTTCATTCGTGCTTGGTCAAAACTAAATTTTTGAGATAAAATATTACTGCTAGCAAGCACTTTCGTGTATTATATTGGTAATTTAGATTTTGATAAAATATAAGAAGCAATAGTTATAAATTAGTTAAAATTATAACGGGTAATTTATATAATTAGTTGAAAATAAATTAAAAATTAATAAACTTTCAAGTTAATGATTTAATATTAATAAATAAATAAATTTTCACCACGCCTTCTCTCAAGTTTTATTAAACACGTCAATTGTTGCGTAAAGTATCAGAGCAAACCATTGCAAGTTTGGGACAAATGAAAAAAAGAACATACTTTGACTCTGTTCCATCTTAAACCTTACAAAAACAATGAAAGAAAATTGGCCAAAACTATAGAATTGTTTCCAAATTGGGGCGGCATGGTGAAATAAAGTGAGTATAGATTATTCTGAACCCCTTTTTTCTCTAGTTTCCATTTCCTCAAATGATATAAACCTATGACGCTATTACCGATTGGTGAGAAACTGGACAGGACGACATAAAAAAATGATAAAAAGAAAGAGTGATCGTGATGGTGATGATGGCAGCAGCTGCAGCGTTACGGAGAGAATAGCGTGTTGTTGGTAAAAGAAAAGATTTGAATTTTTGAATAATACAAGTAAAGAATAAAGGAGTGTAACCTGTTTCCGTGGAGAGGAAAAGGGAGAAGGGGAAGAGAGAAAGGCATGGGAAAAGGTTTGAGGACGGAACAAGGTCCTGGAATGATGAAGGTGAACGTCATCTGGGCGTGAAATAAGAAGAGGCGCCGAAGAGCAGCGCTTCAAGATCTTGACAGGCCTGGACTTGGTCTTGATCCTACGGCGGGGCGACGGGGAGGGATGCGGCGGCTTATTTTTCCGGGCGGCGAGCAGCGGGCATGGACTCTCCTGAGACATACAAGTCTGATCGGAGTTTGTGTGGAGCGATTGGATAGAATTTATTTACAAAAAATATATATTAGAGAAAAGAGAATGGTTGTTGTTGTTGATGTGGAACTGGTAGCTGCACTGCACCAATCTCTAATATTCATGCCATCTTACATTCCTATTTCCTTGCTGCTGCTCTAGTGTGGGGCCCGCATTCTTTATATTCCTTCATCTTTCTCACGTTAACTCCTCACTCCTCACTCCTCACCCTCTATCTTACTTCAGGATTTGTTCCCTTTTTTTTTTGTATTTTTTATCCTCTCGCTTTTGTTCTTTAACCTTCGGAGTTCCGACACAGCAAGCGTTACGCACCGGCCACTCATTTATTTATATACTACTTTACTTTACCTGCCCTTTATGTCCTTGCATATGTTGCGCTTATGCTTACCGAGTATTGTTTATTTTTTATTTTAGACAATAATCCAACACTATTGTTTCACCGTCTTCCAACTATATAATTATTATATCTCCCGTGGATAATATATTTATCAAAGCCTGGGTTATGATTATAATAAAAACACGAATTTCAAATGATTTTCACTAAAGTTAAATATGTGTTGGACTTTCAAATCTACTTCCCCAATTGTTTACGATGCAATATTCCTTTTTATTTGGGTTTTAAGCCCTTGTAATATTAAAAAAAATGATTATATGGTTCATGGACTTCTTAAGTGATAATAATATTTATATGTTGTTATTTCAACATGTAACTCCAAAAACAAGTTTGCGCCATCAAATAAACTGCATTAGTTTTTCTAAAAATTAATATTAGACATGAAAAATACTAATTTCAATTTACAGGAATAAAAAATATTTTAAATGAATAAGAAAATCCATAAATCTAAAGCTATGAAAATTATAAGAAAAATATTTATAGAGATTACAATTAAATTTCCTTCACTTCATAGAGATAAAAAACATGTATTATCCATTGTACCTGTCTGATGGGCACACTAAGTCTTCTAGTAGTCCAAAGGCCGAACGAGAGCTCCGATCCAATGCGCTGGTGAAGGGGTTGGTACCTGCAAAAGGCACTCCAACGCTCAAGTCAGGACAAACTCGAATATCTAGGATAATTAATGAACAGTGACGTTACCTTTTGTCCTGAGCCATTTATACTGACATTTATGGGTCCTGGACCCCATGGGCCCTGCGACATATTTACCGTATTAGGTAATACACCTTAATCAACTAATTAACCTCTAATCTTTGATTAAGAGTACCAAATGATGGTAGGCCGATCCTGGTGGCCGATTGGCATTCGGCTTCCTGGTTCCGCCATTCAGCGGCCGATGGGGTGGTGGCCGAACCCCCCTACCTGTACACTGCCCCCCAGCCTTGAGGAAAGGTGAAGCTTTCTTCAAGGGTAAAATGGAGACAGTTGCTAGGGTAAGGTGAACGGTTGCATGCCTCTAACCGTCGGATTTCGGGGATCGAACGGTTACATTTTTTCAAAACTTGAATTTTTTCCCACCCGTTTTTTTGAGCTTATAAATAGCTGGTTGGTAGGGCCATTCACACGTATTGCTCTGAACCGAATTGTGGTAGCAGAAGGTCTGAAGCCGATCCGACTAACGATTGTGGTTCTGTGAAGAAATTGGTAAGTTTTTATCGCCATGGTTAATACTTCTGGAAGTTCTTCGGCCAGTAGCTCTCGGTCATCGTCGTCTGAGGGGGCCTCGTCCGGTAGTTCGAGCTTTTCTAGTGTGGTTCGGTCTTTAGATCATGCCGAAAGGCCGAATGAGAATACTTCGGAGGAAACTTCTACTAGCGGGGTTGCCGAGGTACAGGGGAAGTCAAAACGCGTGTCGAATCGGCAACAGTATGGTCCGTCCGAGGTGCCTGGCTACGAGTGGGTGAACGGGGAGGTGACCTCCTACTATTCACGGTACCAAGACACAAGCATGATCACCAACCTCCTAGATTATACAAATTGCTTAACTTTTAATGCTAAGGAGAATCCGTACCCGATCGGTATTCGGTCGTGTCGAAACAATGCCTTTCCGAACCCTGATTCCGTTTGTCTTGATCAAAGTGGGGCGAAAATGGAATCGTTCTACATATATGATTGTCTCCTTCGGGATCTCAAAGTAAAACTACCTTTTGATGAGTTTACTATGGGAGTGTTGAGGGTTCTCAATGTTGCCCCAACCCAATTACATCCGAACAGTTGGGCTCAACTGCAGGGTTTCAAGCACTTGTGTCGATGTATTCACATTAGGCCTTCCCCACTACTCTTTCTTTATTTCTACTCGTCCATACCCTCCATATTGGCCAAGTAGTTGTCATTGAGCCGAGTAGGGGAACGACAATTGTTGGATAGCTTTACATCTTCCTATAAGAATTTCAAGGCGGGATTTTTTCGAGTGACCATTCGTCCGAATGGGAGACGTTTCTTTTTCGGTGAGGATAACAGAAGTTTGTTTCCTCTATACTGGACACGGGCCCCTCGGCCGTACGATGTAGTACCGAAGAGTCTTCTTTCGACCGAAGAACGAAAAGATTTAAAACTGTTACTCCGCCTTCCTCGGCGCTTACCGACCCGATCTCTAATTAACTTGGTTGAATCTCCCCTATGGGAGAACGACCTGATAGGTACGTTATCCCTCCTATTTCGGCTATTGGATAAATTCCTATTGATGTTTACTTTATCTTTTTGCAGGAATTATGGTGTCCAGTGGAGCTGACGAACTTAACATCTGCAACTTGTTAGCCGCTCGAGTGAAGCAGGTTAAGCAAGTCGGGGGTGTTGGTACTTCGACTGTTCGCGCACTCCCCAACGTGAGCAAGATAACCGAGAGCTTCCTTCGCCCGAACGGAAAAAGAAGAAGGGGAGGATGGGGAAAGAGGTTGATCGAGAGCGAACGAAGAGGAAAGGTTCTGAGGAACAATCAGGGAATCCGAAGAAGGCTAAACTGTTGCCCGAGGCATCACCCAATCAGACTGTGATTGTGGTGCCGCCCCAACTAATGTCTCGGGCTTTTCTGAGTGATGATGTATCGGCCGATACCCTGATTCGGTCCGATGCAGTTTCATCGTTCGGGCGAGAGTTCTTGGCCGGCCTGGAGACGAGAACCAAGTGGAGACTTTTCTGCGAGATGCAAGCACGTTCGTTGGCCTTGGAACTTTTCTGCGAGATGCAAGCACGTTCGTTGGCCTTGGATCATCACCTAGCCATGGAGCCTGTCGGCGAGGTGATGCATCTGAAACAAAGTCTCGAAGAGGCCGAGAAGGCCACAGCCGAAGCTATTTCGGTCACCGAACAAGCAACAGCCAGAAATCGCGAGTTGGCTGCCGAGCTGGATTCTGTTAGGCGGGAGAATGACACTCTTCGCCTGGATCTACAAAAGGCAATCAATGAAGAGCGCCGCCGAGCAGAGATCGCCCAAGCTGAATACAACCGCCTGAAAGAGCAGGCTAAGGAGAAGATCGTCGCTCAGCACGAGGCTGGATTTAAACATGTTGTTCGGTAAGCAAAGCACTTTGGCCAATTCCCGGAGGACTTTGAATTCGACATGAACCAGGATTTTTATCAAGGGTCATTTATGTCCTTTGCTGAGATGCCCGAGGGGGCGAACCCTGATGACTCGGAGCCGGGAGCTGCCCCCCAGCCAGAAGGAGATGCTGACGCTTCGTCTGGTGAAGAGGAAGATGAAGAACATGCCAATCTCGAGCTAGAAGGGGAAACTGATACTCATGCTCAGGATGACACGGTCAGAAATTCGGAGGAGTAGTGTTGATATTTTACAAGGTTTTTTGTAACAAGGGGAGCCGATAGAGCCTCCGTTTTTTAAATTTTTGTAGCAAGGGGGCCGATAGAGCCTCCACTTTTGAATGAAATGGCACTTTCTATTGAATCATGTGGTGTATTTTTGAATCAATGCTAATTCGGATCGTCTCTCTTAACTTAAAAACTTAACAAATTTATTCCAAGAATGTTTTATATAAACTATTCCGAAAGAGTTGTCGAAAACCGAGTGGAGGTTACTCGGAAATGCCTTGATTTCTTCGTTGGCCGAAAACCGAGTGGACGTCACTCGGAAATGCTTTAATTTCCTAGCAAAACCGAGTGGACGTCACTCGGAAATGCTTTGATTTCCTAGCAAAACCGAGTGGATGTCATTTGGAAATGTCTTGATTTCCTAGCAAAACCGAGCGGATATCGTTCGGAAATATCTTGATTTCCTAGCAAAGCCGAGTGGATGTCGTTCGGAAATGTCTTGATTTCCTAGCAAAGCCGAGTGGACGTCGTTCGGAAATGTCTTGATTTCCTAGCAAAGCCGAGTGGATGTCATTCGGAAATGTCTTGATTTCCTAGCAAAATCGAGTGGATGTCATTCGGAAATGTCTTGATTTCCTAGCAAAACCGAGTGGATGCAGTTCGGAAATATCTTAATTTCCTAGCAAAGCCGAGTGGACGTCGTTCGGAAATGTCTTGATTTCCTAGCAAAGCCGAGAGGATGTCATTCGGAAATGTCTTGATTTCCTAGCAAAGCCGAGTGGATGTCATTCAGAAATGTCTTGATTTCCTAGCAAAACCGAGTGGGTGCCGTTCAGAAATATCTTAATTTCTTAGCAAAGCCGAGTGGATGTCATTCGGGAATGCTTGGCATTCTAGCAAAACCGAGTGGAAGTTACTCGGAAATGCTTGATTTCTTAGCAAAACCGAGTGGAGGTTACTCGGAAGTGCTTTGATTTCCTCGTTGGCCGAGTTGAGCAATTCGATAGAGAATTGGCCGAGCTGATTACCTTGGGAGGGAAACCTTTATGATTTATAAGGTCGAGTTGATCAACTCGGGAGGGAAACCTTTACGATTTATAAGGTACATCCTTGGCCGAGTTGATCAACTCGGGAGGGAAACCTTTATGATTTATATGGTACATCCTTGGCCGAGTTGATCAACTCGGGAGGGAAACCTTTAAGATTTATAAGGTACATCCTTGGCCGAGTTGATCAACTCGGGAGGGAAACCTTTTTGATTTATATGGTACATCCTTGGCCGAGTTGATCAACTCGGGAGGGAAACCTTTTATACTTTATAAGGTACATCCTTAGCCGAGTTGATTACTCGGGAGGGAAACCTTTTAGGAAAATCGAAGGTACATCCTTGGCCGAGTGACGACTCGGGAGGGAAACCTTTTGAAGAAATCCAAAGGTACATCCTTGGCCGAGTGACAACTCGGGAGGGAAACCTTTTCAGGAAAACCGAAGGTACATCCTTGGCCGAGTGACGACTCGGGAGGGAAACCTTTTGAAGAAATCCAAAGGTACATCCTTGGCCGAGTGACAACTCGGGAGGGAAACCTTTTCAGGAAAACCGAAGGTACATCCTTGGCCGAGTGACGACTCGGGAGGGAAACCTTTTGAAGAAATCCAAAGGTACATCCTTGGCCGAGTGACAACTCGGGAGGGAAACCTTTTCAGGAAAACCGAAGGTACATCCTTGGCCGAGTGACGACTCGGGAGGGAAACCTTTTGAAGAAATCCAAAGGTACATCCTTGGCCGAGTGACAACTCGGGAGAGAAACCTTTTCGGGAAAACCGAAGGTACATCCTTGGCCGAGTGACGACTCGGGAAGGAAACCTTTTGAAGAAATCCAAAGGTACATCCTTGGCCGAGTGACGACTCGGGAGGGAAACCTTATCAGGAAAATCGAAGGTACATCCTTGGTCGAGTGACAACTCGGGAGGGAAACCTTGTGAGCGAAATTCGAAGGCACGTCCTTGGTCGAGTGGGTCACTCGAGAGGGAAGTCTTGTGAGAGAAATTAGAAGGCACGTCTTTGGCCCAGTGACGACTTGGGAGGGAAGTCTTCTAAGTTAATATTCGAGTAAACAGTTAAGAAGAAAGTCTTGAATGAGGGTGAATTGTACTTCATTGATTGGTGTCTCGTTAAAAACCTTGTCGACCAAAATCCCTTTTCACTATAAGGGTAGAAATGACCGATCAAGGAAAAGAGTGCACCTTTGTGTATACATCATTTCAAACATACATCAGCTTCTCTGTCTCTCCCATAGTTTCAGCTCGAGCTTGGTTGCGGAAATCAGCTAGCTCTTCCTTTTGCATGTACTTGTCGGCTCTCCTGCGTAGGTCATTCATATCTGAAGGAGGTTTCTTGCATAGGCTATTGACGAATGTCCCTGGTTTTAAAGCTGTTCCCAGATGATGAAGCGCTACAGCCGGGTTGAGATCTCAGATTTCCAAGGCTGCCTTGTTGAACCGATCCATGAAAGCTTGAAGCTTCTCCTTTTTATCTTGCCAAAGACTAATCAGTGATAAAGATGTCAGGCTATGGGAACGACTCGTTGCAAACTGAACTGTGAATTGAGACGACAGTGTATTGAATGAGTCGATCGAATTAGCGGGTAGCCGAGTGAACCAGCTCAACGCCCTGCCCTTGAGGGATGTAGGGAAGATGCGACACAATGCAGCATCATCCGTAGTACTCAGGGTTACTTGCGTAAGAAAAACGTCAAGATGTTCATCAGGATCAGTGGTACCATCATACTTATCAATAGGTAAAGATTTCCAATTGTCCATCAGAGGAAGCTGCATTATGGAGGGAGTAAAAGAGTGTCGATGCGAGCCAACGGTTGTCAAATCTGCGGGCCGATCGACAGTGGGTAAGGCTGAAGGGTGCTTTCCAGGTGCTACTGCCGAGGCGTGAGGGACCGAGGGATGGACCGTATGGGACTGGTGCGACCCTTGAGTTTGTGTATTGGTGCCCTGAGTAGGTTTCCACGAGGTATCTTGATTCTTTAACGCCTCATTCTCAGCTCTTAAGGCTGAAAGCTCCCTAGCATCTTTTTCTCGCTGCTGTTTCATAGCCTCCATCTCTTGTCTTAATAGACGAACGGTTTCAGAAAGGTCGGTTTCGTCCACCACTTCGACATGTTCCTCCTCAGGTTGTTGATCTGTCGTGTTTGTTCTCCTGGTTATCGCCATTGTCTCACTCAATTAATCTTCACAAGCGTCTCAGTTCGGCCCCACGGTGGGCGCCAAAATGTACCTGTCTGATGGGCACACTAAGTCTTCTAGTAGTCCAAAGGCCGAACGAGAGCTCCGATCCAATGCGCTGGTGAAGGGGTTGGTACCTGCAAAAGGCACTCCAACGCTCAAGTCAGGACAAGCTCGAATATCTAGGATAATTAATGAACAGTGACGTTACCTTTTGTCCTGAGCCATTTATACTGACATTTATGGGCCCTGGACCCCATGGGCCCTGCGACATATTTACCGTATTAGGTAATACACCTTAATCGACTAATTAACCTCTAATCTTTGATTAAGAGTACCAAATGATGGTAGGCCGATCCTGGTGGCCGATTGGCATTCGACTTCCTGGTTCCGCCTTTCGGCGGCCGATGGGGTGGTGGCCGAACCCCCCTACCTGTACATCCATTGTCTCTTGAAGCAACTCAAACCCTAGTTTCTTACCATTAGAGGATTCTGACGTAGCAACATGAGTTGCTTGAAGAAGAGAGAGAGTTACTTCCTCAAACAATAGTCCCTTACCAGATTTCAAGCAAATCTTATTGAACATATTTGGAAACGTTTCGGAAATAATAATGATGAAAATTAATTTCATATAATATCTATGTATTTATTATTATTTTATTTTATTTTTAATATCTACTTATTGTGTATTTTTTTTTCATAATTTATTTTCTTTCATTGTAGTGCAATTACCCTTTTTAATAAAAATTTAAAATTGGTTCATAAATGATTAGAAAAAAAATTTAAAAATCGAATTTCTTAAAGTTTCTCACCATTGAAATAAATTTATGTTTGAATTGCTTAATACTGACATGACATACTCAGGACCACTTTTTTCATTGAAAAGACATGAAACAACTCAAATAAGTTGTTTCCATTGAAAATGCCCTAATAACAGTTTAGCTCTCTTGATGATTAAATGAGTAATAATTATTCTCTTTCTCTTTTTTTTCTTCTTCTTTCAATTATCCATTTTTCTCTTTAATCATGCTTTTCATAGCTACTTTTAAAGCTATCGAAATTGAAATGTAGAATAATGGATACTGGTGACACATTAATAATACATTATATTTTTATATGACTAGTTTTAATTAATAGAGAAATACAAGTTGCATTTGATTTTTTTACTTGAAGGGGAATTTTTTTTCTTCGAAATTTCTATAATGGATGAATTAAAAAAAAAAAATCCGACAAAGGAGCATGTCATGTTCAAAAAAGACGATATTTAAAGGGGAAGACATGTTTTAAAACATGACGTGCAATTTAATATTTTTAATATAAATTAATAGAAGTTTTATTTATGATACATATTTGAGTTCCTTTTTATATTTTAAATTTTAAATAAAAAACGTATTTTCAATAAACGATGTATATTTTTGAGTTTATAATTTATATATGCAATCAAACATAACTTACTATTTTATTTAATTTTATTTTAAATATATCCATTGTGGGAATTTTGTAAAATAATAATGTCTTTTGGATAAAAAGTCATCGTTGTATTCTTTAATAGCTTTCTTTTTAATACTTTCTATTATTTGTTAAAAATTTCATATTTTAATAGATCTCAATACTAAATCAAGAGAAATAATTATCAAATGAGATGAAACATTTACAAATTATATAATTTTTAATAAATTTCAACTAATAATAAAGTCTGATTAAGATAACCATGTATTAATTTTCTTAATTTAGAGTATTTATATCATTTTATATACATTTATTTTCTTTCAACATTTTTCACAATCAAACAATCTAAAATATTATTTCATTTCCTATTATTTTTTTTTCTTTTCACATTCGTTCCTTTATTTTTCGTCTCCAAAGTAAACAAAGCATGAAAGTGATAATAGTTCACAATATATTAATATAAGAGATTTGATATTTTAAGATAAAATAAAAAAAATTAAAAATATTAGAGAATGATATTTGATAGAAAAAAAATGTATAGTATGTTTGTTAAAGTTGAGATATGAATCTATGGCTATGACAGAAAAAGTATAATATAAAAATATTAAAACTATTTAGTTTAATATTTTTTTACAGTAGTTTAATATTTCTTAAAAGGTAATACAGTTATGTATTACAAGAATATATAATAAAATATATGTTAAAATTATATATATAAAAAGACTTCATATTTATAATATAAAAATGGTTACCAGATATCGTTTGGAAAAATGATTACGGGATATCTTATCAAGTTAATGCGTATTACACGATATTTTTCATTCATAAATGTATAGCTTTTTACTTTCAAGAAAAGCATTGAACGCCCGGCACAAAGTTAGTGTAAATAATTTATTAAACTTATTTTGAAAATGAAAGTCTTTATCATCAAGCCCGTCTAGCTCAGTCGGTAGAGCGCAAGGCTCTTAACCTTGTGGTCGTGGGTTCGAGCCCCACGGTGGGCGTATTTGCTTTTATACCTTTCGTAACTTTCTTGCACTAAGACCCACTAATTTGGGCTGCTATTAAATGTCCTACTCCACCTAGGACTAGGTGGCTGTAAATCATAAAAGAAGCCCACAAATTCTGGGCTAGTACCAAAGTTTTTTACATCATTTAAATTTAATAAAAAAACATGTAGGAATCCATTTTAATGTGTTTTTATCTTGCAACATGATTAAATTTAAATAATATGTTGAGATTTATAATTAATATGAATAATCCATTTTTTTGTAAACACTCTTGATATTATTCAAATGAAATACACTGATGTGCATGTCTATGATATGTAGCTGAATTGAATCACGTGAGAATCTCCAATAATTATAAAGCCTATTGTGCATTGAAGTAATAAACCCCCAAGAAGTCAAGAAGTAAATCACTGCAATCAAAATTTGAAAAAAAAAGAAAAAAACCTATTGATTTTAAACTAGTTTCTTTTATGGGCTTTAATGAATGGCTCGTTGAGTTTAAATTTGGGTCCAGATCCAATCACGAAAAATATAATAAATAGAAGTGAACAGGTGTCAAACAGCGAGTGGAACCACGTATGTTGGTTTGAAACCACACATGGAACAGTTGAAGTTCCCTCCAAGAGGCGAATGGTAGAATAGAAGAATGGCTTCCGCAGCGTCGGCGATGTCGGTTCAAGCGGGTCGGGTTCGGACCCTGAAAGAAGGGCTGCGCGGCGAAGCGGGTGCGGGTCCCGTTGTGTACTGGATGTTCAGAGATCAACGGGTGAGAGACAATTGGGCTCTGATCCACGCCGTTGCTGAGGCCAACAAAGCCAACGTACCCGTGGCCGTTGTTTTCAATCTCTTCCACAGCTTCCTTGGCGCCAAATCCCGTCATCTAGGGTTCATGCTCAGAGGCTTGCGCCAACTGTGCCACCGTATGCAACACACTCAAATCCCCTTTTTCTTGTTCCAGGTAACTTTCACCTTGAGCTTTTCTTCCATTAAAGTCCTGTTTGGCACTTCTTGCTTAAATCAAACAACTTACCCATTGAGAGGTTTATCTTCATTCAGGAATGTTGTTTTTACTTTCCATTTATTGTAGGGTGAGGCAGAGGAGACTGTGCCAAAGTTTCTTAGAGAATGTGGTGCTTCCCTTTTGGTGACGGATTTCTCACCGTTGCGGGAAGTGCTCAAGTGTAAAGAAGAGATTTGCAAGAGGGTTAGCGATTCCGTTACTGTGCATGAGGTGGATGCTCACAACGTTGTTCCCCTTTGGGTTGCCTCTGATAAGTTGGAATACAGTGCTAAGACCATTAGGGCTAAGATAAACAAAAGGCTTTCTGAGTATCTCATTGATTTCCCTGACATTGAATTAGAACCACCAACTAGGAAGTGGGTTCTTACTGACAACCATTCCATTGACTGGGATGATCTCATTGCTGACGTGTTAAGGTTATTAGACTTGTTCTATCTTGAGAAGCATTGCTGAATGCTGATCACAACTTGATGATTGTTTTTGTCAAATTACTAGGAGGGGTGCTGAGGTTCCTGAAGTTGATTGGTGTGAGCCAGGGGAAAATGCGGCGAGGGAAGTGTTGATGGGAAGTGAAAATGGATTCTTGACCAAGAGGTTGAAAGGTTATGCCATGGATCGCAACAACCCGTGCCACCCCAATGCGCTTTCTGGCTTATCTCCCTATTTGCATTTTGGACAGATATCTGCTCAGCGATGTGCTTTAGAAGCACGTAAGCTGCGAAATTCACATCCTCAAGTTTGTTTACTGCCCTGCTCTTGATTCTTTCTGTTTCATGATGTTCTTTTCTTCCCAAAAATGGCGATGACATCTTGTATCTTATGTTCTTGGCTTGTGGTCTGAAGGCAATTGATGCTTTCTTGGAGGAGTTGATTGTGCGGAGAGAGCTTGCTGACAACTTTTGCTTCTACCAGCCTCTTTATGATTCATTAAAAGGAGCATGGGGCTGGGCTCAGAACACCTTAATTCAGCATGCCACCGATAAGCGAGAACATATTTACACGTGAGTCGCATTGGTTTGTTTCTAACTCTATTGTTTTTGTTTACTTTTAAGCTGATGTAGATTCTGGATTTGCAGGAGGGAGCAGTTGGAGAAGGCACAGACTGCTGATCCTGTAAGCCAGTGTTTGCTGGATAAGAATAATATTGCCAAATGAAACATCCTGATACCTTCAAAAGACTTGCACTTTCTTTCGTATAATAATTTACTACTACTCAATTTCAAAGTTTCTCAATGCTTCTATATTAATAATAAGGCGTTATTACACTTCAGCTCATTCTAAATCACTGGGATTTTATTAGCATTGGCCTAAATAAGTATTATATTGTTTGGTTGCAATTATCAGCTCTGGAATGCTTCTCAGCTGGAGATGGTTCACTACGGAAAGATGCACGGTTTTATGCGGTTAGTAACTTCTTAATGAACTCTTGTTTCCTTTTTGTTGCTTTCCGAATAATGTTATGTTGCACATTCCAAGGTTATCATGTAATGAAGAGAATCCATCAACTTTTTCCTCTTTTTTTTCTTCTTCTTATTTTTCCTCCTTACAGCTCTACATAATCTTTATAGGTTCTCTTTACCTTTATTATGATTGATAAGCCTGCATTATAAAGAGTGAAAACAAGCGAGTCATGCATACTAAAGAATGATGTTCAGTATAAACTAGAAAATCTGATCACCCATAATTTGAAAGCTAATTATGGACCGACAAAAGGAAAACACAACTAAAAAAATGTGTCATGAATATCTAGTTGACAAACCGATGCTGTGCCACTGTTCTAGTTTTGTTTTTTTTTTTTTTGTGTGTGGGTAGAGTAGTATGAATGATTTCATACATTAAAAGATACTACAATATTTGCTGAATATCTTCGCAGATATGCTGAAATCTTTCAGATGACTGAAATATTCTATTTTATTCTCTTCCTGGATTTCCATTTCTATGGTGGAATTTTATTACTTATTTCACATGATGCTGTATAATATCTTAGCGGAGACACTACGTACCTTTTGCAGTATAAAAATAGCTTCCAAGGGGAACGTTAAAAAACCCTAAACCCTAAAATTTTATTTACAGAATGTATTGGGCAAAGAAGATACTTGAGTGGACGCGAGGACCTGAAGAAGCCCTTGAGATATCTCTATATTTAAATGACAAGGTAATGTTCAAAACTTTGGTCGACATAGAGAACTAATCGAGTAATAACATGTGATTTTCATGAGACGAGGGTTATTACAATTTGTATAAATGACAGCAATTTCGCCTGACTGCAGTATGAATTAGATGGGAGAGATCCAAGTGGTTATGTTGGTTGCATGTGGTCAATATGCGGGGTTCATGATCAGGTATGCCTACATTGTTCTCATTCGCTACAATTTAATTTGAATGTCGAGGAAGATTTTTTTCTGATAGATAGTGTTTTTGGTCCTTGTAGGCTGTAGTAATTACTTTTTGTGCAGAACTGATTTGAGCTTTCCTTTTCATTTCCCCCTAAATCAAATAAACTGCTATGTTGGGTGTTTGCTTAATCATACAAAAAACAAACAGAATTGTAAAATTTCTTCTAGAATTCTCAGTTTTGGCATTTAATTTTTTATGATGCATTTCAGGGGTGGAAAGAGCGACCCGTTTTTGGGAAAATTCGATACATGAATTATGCAGGCTGCAAAAGAAAATTTGATGTTGATAAATACGTTGCATATGTCAATAAATTAGTTCGTGAGCTTAAAAAGAGAAAGGCTGGAAACTTGTTATCTCAAAAGGAGAAAGCACGCCGCTGTTGTGATCCTGAAGATTGAAGAAGTATATATATATATTTCTAGGCTTATTATGTATTTTGGTAGGATTTATAGTAATAACATTTTTTTATAATGTCATTCTCTATTATTAATTAAAATTCATTATAAATTATAAAATATAAGGCTCATTAAATAAAAAATGAGACTTTAAATTTTATAATTTCTAATAAATTTCTGTTAATTATAAAGAATGCGTTAAAAGAAATGTGATAAGGTTTGTTTACTAAAATTTCTCTTTTCTCATTTAGGTAGAGTAAGTTTCCAAGCAGAAATAGTCTTCTAATTTGCCTTGAGTTTTGAATACTGCCTTGCCGTTCTTCATTGATCACATCCTTATGTTCGATTAATGAAACTGAAACTGCTTGTGTTCCTACTCGAACAGGTTGGTCACATTGTAGAGGTGATAGGGAACCGTTAGAAGCAATGAGATTATTATGAATTTTTTTAGGGAATGCTCCAGTTTCCTTCATTGAGGTAGTGATATATAAAAGTATTCTCGTCTCATTTTTAGTTCAAATTTTTGGTACTTCATTTCCCAGTGTGAATCGTGATTGTTGTAGCTGGGAAAAGGGCATGGCAAGAAGAAAATCTCGCTGACTATTAGAAATGCTTAACCAATATACTTATTTGACATTTTTGGCGGGAAACGTCGCCTAATTAAGTAAGTTCTTCATTTTTTATTCCTTTACATTTATTTGGAATAAATTACCTTCATTAGTTAATCTACAAATTTCTACAATATTTTCAACTATCCCCTTCAAACTGAAATACTTTATACGTTTAAGATTTTTGCACACTTAAGAAATATTTAATGTTAGAATATTAAGTTTAAGATACCCATCTAATATCTTTAATAAGAACAATTGATAAATAATAGGTATATGTCGAAAATGTTAATTAATATTACTTGGAATATGTATAATATTGAACTTTTTGAAATAAAAGAGAATGTTTAAAACATAAAAATTATAGTCCAAAAGAATTACTTCATTTATATTTTTGTACAATATAATGTTTCAGTGAAATTTAAATTGGTCTTAACTATTTTGTGCATATTATTCTAACCTTTTATTTTTATATTCGCTTTAGTGGTTCTTACCTCTTAATGAACTACACATAAAAGTATAATTTAAAAAAAAAACATAAAAACATGACAAAATCTTAAAAAAAGCAAAGTTTTGAAACATAAATACAAAATTAGAGTAATCATACTTTTGGGATTATTGTAGAACATGTTTTAGTGCTTTATTATTTGTGTTTTTTTAATGTGAAGACTCAATTTTCAAGATAGTTTTTATTGGATGATTAAGATGTTTTTTCGGTTGATATAAAGTATAAATAATCATAAAATTTTCAACTTAAAGTCACAGTCGGTAATAAATTTAAAACTCAAATAGCTTCTTTTTCGAGAAAAGAGGATTGAAATCATCTAATAAATTTTACTCATTAAGGTTAGTGGAGGATTTTGAATAATTTATATAAATTCTTAGGTTTAAATCACATTATTGGTTTTTAAATGCAAAATATAAAAATAAAATGATTGGCCAAAATGGAAACAAATTGATTTTTAAGTTAAATTTTAAAATATTTTTAGCTAAATTTTTAAAATAAAAAAGTAGTTTTGAATTTTGATAATAATAACAATGATAATAGTGAAAAAAAAATACTTTCAACCTATTAAAAAGAGTGTGGGTTGAAAGTATTTATTATTTCCTTAATATTAATAATTAAAAATACTAATAATTATTGAAAATATTTATTAATAATTACTTTTACTGAACCAAACTTAATGGGTCAAAAGTATTTTAATTTAAAACAAGGGCTCCAGTTTAAGTATTTAAGTAGTTTCTTGTCTATTAACTTAAAATTGTTATTCTTGTTAGTAGCTAATGAAGATTGTTCTCCTTAGTCTGTTCACAATGAACAAAATTTTCAAATTGTAATATCAAGATGATTAAACTATATGATTACAACACAAATATAATTTACAAGTAAACAGAAGCTCATCTTCTAGCTCTAAAGTCATTAACATCATATTTGGATATCATCTAATGAAAGCTCATGCGTTGTTATCATCTTTAGTTTCTGCAAAAGAAAATAATTAAATAACATGCAAGAGTGGTTATGGAAAATTATAATTCATGGTTAAGTAACACTTTACATTTGGCATTGAAAAAGGTAAAACTTCAATACCATAATAAATTGTGCAGGATCATCAAGACTTGATGAGCCGAGAATAATTTCCCTTTTTAGCTTTTCGGTAAGCTTATAGCAAATCCTAAGCTGTAGATTCAAATTAAAATAACATACCATATTAGAAAATTAGAAGGGGCAAGGGTTATTGAATAATACAATATCATTTTGTGTGTATATATATATATATATATATATAAATAAAAATAAAAATATAAATATAAAATAAACCTCAGATCTGGTTGCTCCACCAACAATGAATACAAAAATTCGTTGCCCCATCCTCCTGAAATCACTCGATGCATGTCTAAGCACTGAATCACTATTTACCATCACAAAAATATATAATAAAAAATGTGAGAAAGTTGTTCTTTTGTCATTAATTTCAACAGAGACAAGGTATTTCCCTACAAATTATCAAA